CAATCGAACTGGAAAGAATTTCATTTTTTACATTTTCTTAGCTTAGCCTGGGCAAAGTCACAGACACCAGGATTGTGAGTATTAATCTTATTACGGACATGCATCTTAGTTTAGCGATGCAGCCGTATGTACTGGTCAGCGAAGAACGCTAGGTAGCTTTTCCATCTTGGCTGATAGTCGCCCACAGTATGCACCTTCGGTATTTATTGATATGTGTTTGCTAATACGCACGAGTTCACCAATGAGCGGAAATAAGGAGAAGCCATGTTTAATTATTAATTTGAACGTTTGAAAGTAAGCTCGATACTTTACTCGCCTCCTTCGATCAGGTAGACTATTAAATTTATCCGGATCAGTCTGCATCTGTGAAGACAGTAAATGAAAGATATGACAGATTCCGTTTATCTTTTTCAAGAGTAGTACTGTTGATTGCATGCTCACCCCTTTAAAAAAATCTGAATCATTCGTCGATCATACGCCAATCGTCGCCGGTTTTGTAATTATTACACAATGATATATGATCTTGTGTAACTGCTGTTCGTAATAGTATTTTAATTATCTAATATCCCCTGACCAATAGCCCCCTCCCCTGGTGTCTCTTTCATTGTCACCAGTCATTCTGTCTACCGTTGTCATCATCGATTTCCGACCAAACTTAATTCAGTATTCCTGTCTCGAATACATTTACGTCCCCGACTGTCTTCTTGCTTGTGGTGACTGTCACTCTTATAATGTCCTATTCCCGTGAGAAATTCACTGTGGTGGCATGTGCATCCTCGTCCTCGTCATCATCCCACACTCCTGGAATGACTCAATGTGTCCATTTGCAACTCTCCTCTCCACACACCATCATTCCTTATTCCTACTAAACTTTCCCTGTGGGGTTTGGTCATGTAGGATAGCATCCCGGATTGTTCCNTGCTCCGCAATCACTCCCCTCGTATTCCTTCTTCCTGTGCAATATACACCGTTTTCTTCTGGTCTTCATTTGTTCCTTGGATAATGTAGCGGTCGCTCAAGGTGCTCCAGTTCCGCGGCCGTTCTGTCGGAGTCTGATCAGCACTGCGGTTATTCGTGGCTCTCGAGACGATGCTCAGGCATCGAGCAGCGTACCGGATATCAAACGACTGATGGATGATGCAATGATGGCTCCGAGAACACTTACGCGTACGTTAATGGTTGACTTTTATCTGTGTTGCAACTCAAATGGGCAAGTTGTCTGGTTG